CCGATGTGGCATGAGTTTATTTGTGTATGTGCAATTCATGGTTATATGTGGGCTGGGATACTGCCAGGGCGCCCACACCTAGACAGGAGGACGATTAGGGTCCTCAACCAAAGCCTTTGGCTCAAAAGCCTAACCAAAAGGCAGCGGTGTTTGGCGGGGAATGCAAATGCATTACCATTTCTACAGAACAAGTCGCCATATGTTCCAACCCCTAACCTGGAGGGCCAGGAGACTGTGTTCGTCAGACCTCTAACCATTGAACAGCCTGGTGTGAGAGAGTGTGAGTGTCGTGGGACACTCTCCAGTATAGCTCAATGGATCGTTGAGGTGCGCAAACCGTCACACCACGGTAAGGTCCAGTCTCTTCATGATAATAAAAACTTACAGTTTCGTCCGCTTAGGGAGGTTGTCGCTGCAACGCTTTTGTGTCTTTGATCAAAAGGCGATCGATTTGTCTCACAATTTGGATGACTTTTAAACGCAATGGTAGTTGGTTATAGTATAAAATGGTCTCCATGTCACTGGCAACTAACCGAAGTCAAAACTGAAGACAAATAAGCTTGGTTTTCGAATTTTCGGGACCGAAGCAAAACCGGATAACTTATTATTATTAAATGAAGACTAACTCTGCCTCGGATCATATTGCGGTGGTTCAAGACATGCGGTTTTGGAGTTCGAATTGAGAACTGACGGCTAGTTAAGATGTTTACAGCTCAAGAATATGCCTTCGGAATACAAGTAGCAAAGCACTTTGTCTAGTTTGGTCACAATTGTGGACAGACGCGAAGATGAGCTTTCGGAACGCCTCGTCTTTTGAAGGCCGACATGGGGCGGTAAGGGTTTGAATTTTCTCACGTCCGTGCCTACTGTGTGCAAAAGTGCTCCAGTAAGAGCCTCATTCTATAGGACTAGACACAAGTTCGATCTAGAATAGTTGAGAAAAATCATTAAAAAGGCTTATTTCCAATGGCTCTCCGAACGATGAACTTCTCCGTATGGAGATGGCCGGTTGGCATTCGATATCAAGTAAGAATTCACTCCAGTCCTGAGACAAGTCTACAGCACCATTCAATGTCCACTCATCTACAGCATCACACCTGTTTTTCAGAAGCTTGACGAAGTTCACCAGGTTTCGCTGTCGTTCACCCGACCTAACAAGTAATTTGTGGTTCCATAGTCAGTTATATCGGCAGGGCAGATCGACGCCAACGAGAACGCGCAGCAAAGCAAACATCAACGTACATACCTCGGACAATATGACTGTCGCCAAGGGGTCACACCGCGACCCTAAATGTTCTATTGTTAGGCTCAAACTGAAAACTGGCCACCGAATCTATCCAACACCTATACTCAAAGAACTGCCATGTGGGCCGTCGGTGAGGCGTTGCTAATCCTAACCCATAAACCAGTGCTGTGTGCGCGAATGCATTTGGTTACCGTGTCTCCAACCACATGACAAACTTTCACATATACATATCTGCCCGTTCGACTTTACGGGTAACTCCTTTTTTGTATGACCCGCAAGCTCCAGGCCTGAGTGAAATGTGTCAAGGGCTCGTGACACGTTCTCTAGCCGTACGGATGGAAAAAGAGGTCTCTGTTAATTCTTTATGATGTGGAAGATTGGTGTTTGCTACCCATTGATTTATGCGCTGGCTAAGGATCCATCGAAAATGGCTGCAAAGGTAACAGCTAAGCCAGATATTTCCGAAAGAGATTTTGTGGATTGCATTAGTCCAGCAGAACCTTAGCGAAAGCAGTTCATTGGAAATGTCTAAATAATGGAAGCTCGGGTGAGCTAAGCGGCTACTGACCAGGTAACCGCTGATCCGACTTACAAAACGAAACGTTTGCAAATCAACTGCCTAGCTCGGCGAACCTATTAAGAGCTAAAAGACACCCATTGTACCTTATACGAAAAATGAAGTCAAATACGGAGCACTGTGAAATACCCACCGATAAAACACTTTATGTTTCTGGAGCTGTCTCACCTTACTTAAGAAATAACCTAATCTGTTTATTGATTAGTTAGGCCAAATGTGTTGGTAGGAACTAGAATTGGTGAACAAATTACCTCCGTTCAACGTTACCTCTGAATAAAATGCTGGGTAATTATAGTTGGAAAGGTAAAATTTAGAAAAGTGAGAGCAAATCACCACTTGACTGTTCTATAGTGTGTATCCCCTTTACTAAGCTACCAGTTACTGACCGGAAGGTCTGTGGATCGAACCTGACCTGTGCCTGTCGGCTTTTTCTGTCTAGGTTTGGGCAACCTGGTCAATATCCCAGCCCTGGTGCTTCCTTCCAGTGATATGAGGCTGAACGGTTGTCATTTTATTATTAGGTACCCATAGCCAGCTTGAGTCTGAGTAGTGGATTTGTACGAAGGTACAGCGTACGACAGTTTGGCGATTTTGTCACGTGACAATACAACCAAGCCGGTCTTTGATAGGCTGTCCTTTCCTTCTAAGCAACAGTCTGCCTGTTTGGATAAACGGACAAAGAATCAGAACGAGTTCAGGGCTGCAGTTGTTCGTTCGGTTACGGTGTCTAACTGACATGAAATATTATTACATCATGATACCACTGGGTTCTTAGTACCAACGCCCCTAACTAATTATCAGTATAGGGTTAGTGCAGCCGAGTAAATCCTCACTCTTCGTTAATTTTTCGTCACTAAGTGGAACCTAGAACACGTCCTGAGATAATCATGTCAACCTGACAGGTTGAACAGAAAATTTGCCGTGGTTTATTTGCACCACAATCGTCATGTTTGGGCAAGTTGAGTGATGAAAACTATCCGCAGTATGAATCATTTCCATGTTTTCTCGTGTGGTGGGAGATCCAGTGGCCCGTAATCCTGACAGAACCAAATCGGTCTTTCGTGTGGGGATATCCTTCGGCCCTTTGATTACTCTCAATAGATTTTAGGCTAGTCACTACAAAGACTGAGCATCAACCAACATAAAAATGTGGTGCTTCACGTTTCCTTATTGCAAGGCAAAACAATGCATGAGCCTTTCCTATGTTCATACGGTTTTAAGTAGGCACCTGGACCGGAATGACAGTATCAGTAGCCATTGACTGACCAGTAGATACTGACTTGCCATCGGGATATCAAACCGACCTGAATGGCGCGGTAATCAGTATCCTCCAAAAAGCTGGGGGAAGTGAGATATTATGCTGAAACTAGGAGTAATTGGTGGAATACACCACCTCTCCGGTTTCGTAACGCAGTGATAACAGCAATGGAGAGTAACCCTAAGAGATGACGATATACTGAACTGAGGCCTGAGCTCCAGTCAGAACAAAAGGGATCATCTCGATGAAAATCCAAAAAACTAAGGGGTTGTCACATTGCATTTATACGCAGAAGTGCTTTTGGTCTATGCACGGGCAAAATACTAAGAATCTTAACAGTAGCATGAATTTGGCTTCTATAGTAAATCACCGTCACCAAGGTCATCAAAACCAGAAGACTGGTATTCCATTTCCGTAAAACCATCTCATTTATCTGGAGGGAAATGCACAAAATGGGATAAGAGTTAAGAATACGGACCAGTTCGTGTTATGAGAAGACTCAAGTAATAGGTAACATGTCATTGAGACAGCTAACCGCACTATGAAGCCTCTCTTAATCGTCATTATATGGCTACATATTAACGACCATCAACAGGAATGCGTGAGTATTCAGAAGCCTCATGGACTAGCCGAACCACCGGATCAATGGCATCTATAATTTTTCGACACGCTTCCTAGATACTTTCACGGGTTAGCTGGAGGAACGGGTTAGGTTAGAGGAACAGCGGAATATAATTTTACTTTTGGCATACATAAAGTTAAATGAGGATCCTTGTCTGATCCCAGGGAGGCGAGTCTATCAAGCACTCATCTGAGTGGGTCTACTGCTTTGTAATAAACATGTCATATATTCTTGAACTAGGCGGCAGTAGCTGAGTGCTTAGCTAAACAGGTGAAAATCGTCAAAGCGCAAAAATAACGTGCTGGTTTACCTTGATGCACAACTCTTATGTGGAGGTGCAGCGATCGTATTGTGGTAAATGACATTCCACAGAGACAACACAGACTGAATTGCTCATCTGAAAAATAAAACATGAAGGTGAGCCATGCGCCTCTGAAAAATCAAACTTTCACACACCCACGCATACATATTTCCACAGACCCCAAACTATATGAGTAGCAAATGTTTTAGCTCGAAGTGTCAAAAAAAGACGGGTATATATTCCTACAGTGTACCACCACTTAACATCAAATGAAACAATAATGCGTAATCTGTCACCGCTAATCTCCAATGAATGAAACTCAAAAAACGTCTCATTTATATATGACTTTAGATATGAACGACACACATTGAGGTACTTGGCTCCATATCAAAACGTCCATATCAAAAAACGTTCAGAAAGTGGTGTCACAAGTCATCGCCCACAGGGGGTAATACCATTAACCTTAGAAGCCGTAAGTGGCTCACCACTTCAAATCGTTGAATCACCTAAAAAATGCAACGACATAAACGAAGACAATAATTTGTTCCGGGCCAAAAATCGGCTTGCTTTTAGAAAATGTTGCCCTCAATTTTCCCAGATTGATACAAAAACAAGTTACCGTGCAAATCAATTCGTCTTGAAGTTTGTGAATTATTGTGTGCTTTCATTTATCATTTTTACCAGGTCTGTCAACAAACATTTACTACTTATTCTGTACTTATCCAAAAAAAACACGCTGGAAATACTTTGAGGTCAACGGGGCATGGCCCATGTGTGCACTCAGATATGCTTGTTTTGATGAGCTTGAGGAAATGTCCGTGGGTATATCGGAGTAATCTGACAGGAATTAAGGTTACCCATGGGCTATGGCAGTGAAGCATCAGCGCTGAAAATTGATGTCATGCTGGCGAGGGTGATGATGATACCCATGGGCGGTCACATTCATATGAAAGATGCAGTTTACGGTAGCCAACAAGATTAAAAGATAGTGCTCGTTCGCATTTCTTCAAGGCAAATCACACGGCAAGCTTACACGGACTTCTCTCCACTCCGTGTGGTGAATTACGCAAAACATGCAACCCAAGAAGTCAAATAGATTTCAAAACTATTAGAGAAACATGCGATAAGTCAGGCCAGTGAACCTATGTATATAAACTCGAGAACATTCTAAACTATAGCGACGACGACTTTCAATTTTATATCATATCTCTATATGCTGGTTTGCCAACTGGCAGTTGCCTTTGTGGTTTGCGGGGGCGAGAGGACTGTGGTAAGACCGCGAATTTGCTGATTGGAAGGTCCGTTGTTCGAAACCGACCTCTGCTTTTCGGCTTCACTTGTATAGGCTTGGGCAACTTGGCAGTATCCCAGCTTCCTATTGGCGGTATGACAGTTGGGCACCGAAAGGTGCTACAGTAGAACGTTTTTTGGTAAACCACTTGGTGTAAAACATCACGGTGTAGGATCGAACATCGCTTGATACGCGACAGCTTGTGAGTGACTTAGGAACTCAGCTACGCACAACAATCAATAGTGAGGACAAAAACAGCCTTTTTTTAAAAAAAAAAATAGTATTGGTTCCCGGTTATGCCTTAGCTGCCTCCGATCACAAGTTCTCCCTAATTGGGAAGCAATCGGCATGTACATCAATGCGACTTATGTTGTCTAACTAATGAAGTCCATGCACCATGTGCAATGTATTGCCCGATAGCACATGAACGATAAAGCACAGAATCAGGGACAATTCGAAAAGCAGCTAACAGCACCGATACAAAGCAGTGAGCAAGTTCGTCACTAATATAACCTGGAAACAACCAATGCGGTTGGGTTGGGAGTGTTGATAATCCAGAAAACCCGTTTCAATCCGGCAGAATGTTATTCTATCGCTCACTAAACCCTCGTGTAACAGATGAATCCAGTCAGGGACGATCTGTTAGAAACAATAGAAAAATAACTCTAAATTTTGTCTTTTGAGTTTTTCCACGCTGCTCCTAGCGATGTGCATGAATCAACATAATGAGTTTTGGTTTCGACCGACTCGGCCGTTGAACAGTCGCACTTTAGGTGATGAACATTTGTTCTTTTATCCAGAAAGGGCTATTAGGACCTTGGTCAAATTTTCTATAATACCTGTGTGAAAAAAATTTATGGATTTAAAGCCACGATGTCGATACTTCGTTATCAACAATTCGGATAAAAATATTCGGCAACCAAGGCTAAGAGATTCTAGGTAATTGAGATACGGAAGTGTGTTGCATTTAACGAACATGCTTGTCAGGATTGGATCCAACTAGTTGCATAGTACGGTCGCACTCTGCATAACGACTGAGCCTGTAAGCCGGTTAAAGATTATTTGCAGTTTTTTGCAGCGCAGTTTTGTTGGCTTCTATGGTTTAGAGTCACAGACTGGAAAAAGCGCACGATAAAAGCAATTACACAGAAGGCACGCAACCTCTCGCCAAACACAAACCAAAAGTCGGAAAGGTTAGTGTATCTACCATGTACAAAAAACTGTGCAACGTATTGCTTCCGAGTCTCCCGTGCCCCACCTCAAAATTAGGGCAGGTGAAGTGGATTTTGCTGACCCGTTTATCTACCTGGACAGGTGTATAAATCGTGACGGCAATGTGAGAGTAGTCAATGCATGGACTATCCAACCGCAGGCATCATGGACTTGCGTCATTGATGCCGCCAGGAATGAATCTGGGTGAACCTAAACAGTCGTGCATAGGCCACTGTGAGAGCAGTCACCATCATCATCATCGACCGACGGACATCAGTGTTCAACACCGATGCTTCACTGCCGTACAACCATGACTTATTTGAAAGCCTTATTGTAAAGAAAAGAGTAAAGGTGGACAGGGAAGGGACTTAGTGCTAGCTTAACACAATCATTCCGAGGTGCGTACACCTCCAGACATTCACTCAGCCAATCTGGACGGAAACTGACAACAAGAATGCCACTGACATCGGTTGGCAGCCATATCTTGCAATGTCTCCAACCAGGCGCAGTGGGGATCACGCGGTGCCCATCCTCGAATGCGAGTAGCACCGATATAACCACTGTGCAATTTGTATGCGGTTTTTACCGCTGAAAAATTAGAATGATGACTGTATCATCACCATTTGCTTTCACGAATAACTGGCCTCACACTACTCGAGATGTGAATATGCCGCCGGCAGTAGTTTCTGATGACACAGGGCCAAAAGCAGTTTAAAACTCGTCTGGTCCTCCCAGTGACTATCGATCCTGCATGTAAGCAGCAACGTTTAGCTGTAACACCCTTTCAGTTAGGCCAAGTCTCACAGCCATACAACAAAACAGCCCGTACTGTAGCTTGATACACACGTCCCTTCAGATTCAGGGATAAACCATTCTGACGCAATAGGTCTCTCAAGTTAGCGAACGCAGCTAAAGCCTTGCAGATTCGTGCATTCACCCCATTTGTCACATTACACAATCCAAGATATGTAAAACGCTCCACAAATTCCAGTACCTCTCCCTGGATTGTAAGTGGCGTGTTCAGTAACTGCACGTCCACGAGCATGACCTTATACTTTGTAAATGTATGAATGGATGACGGATGAAGTCGACGTACAGACCTCTGGTTAGAATTGCATTCGCCAAACTGGCACTTATAACATGAAAACTGGACATCACCCGGTCTCATAATGCGTTACATCGCCGTTCGGCGGAGACCTAGCAACTTCGGGTGAAGGGGGCGTGATATATTCAGTCCTCCGACCACGTGTCTCAGAACCACAGCTAGGATAGGAATCAGCGAATTCACGAGGCAATCAGGATAGGGGTCAACGGTGAAGCAGGTACTTCACTCAAGGAGTGCAATCACCATTACAAGCATACCGGGTAACTGTCTGTTGGGAACGATGATTCCCGTGTCTGCTCCGATGGGATGGCAATCTACGATTGAACAGAACATGGCGCCGTATTGAGTACGAAAATTCCATACGTCCGATTACGAAGATGGGGCCATCACGACCATCCATGTGCTTGACTAGAGGCCTTGAGCGATACGGACATCACTGGCATTGATGTTGCCAGCTTCTACCTTTCTTGTCTGACTGGCCGAGCAGCCATTTCTAATGTATGTGGTAGGCTAGTCGAAGGTCCTCTCCCTGTCTCATTCCTTCTCCCCAATTCAACGCTTTATCCTAATAAATTTGCATGGTTGTGCCGCCCTAAAGCGGAAGATATCTACTGCTGCCGCTGTCACCGCCGGCGAATGCTTAATCAACACGTAAGCAAACGAAGCAGTTAACCAACGAAGCAGTTGTCCAAACAGAGACTTCTCCTCGACGTGACACATCACAATTGATCAGAAGTGCACGATCAACACTTTTTTACAGCTTTGAAATTAAAAAATATTGTCAGAGCGAATAATTTTCGTTATGTATAAATGATGAAGTTAAGCTTTGAAATATATAAACCTTAAAGCTTAACCAGGGACGCAAGACGTTATGGATCGAACTTCAACATCTCATTCTAAAGTTCAGTGAAAGCCCAACGAAACCAACTTAGCATACACTCATCAGATTAGATTAGGAAAGGAGGTCCATCAGATTTCCCACAAATTACAGGCTGACAGCTTACCTTGAACATCATCTCCATCAGTTAACGAAGCACAGGTCTCGCTACCGTGACCAAAGCTCTATAATAAAGTAGAAATTAGAAAATAAAATTTCTCCCCCAGTTAACGAACCACATTATCCAAAAGCGTATTCATCATGCTCTCGAGGTTCCGAATACCCGCCGCGATCACCGCATTTGTAACCTGCGCTTTAAGTAGACGGACTAAACAAAATGTCCAATGGGGCTCGTAGGCCCATCGTCAAGTAGGACGTCCGAGGCCAGTAGATAACAGACTTCATCTCAGGGGCTAAAAGAGAGGCAAGAGAACCGGGCCATGTTTGTCGGCTTTTGTGGAGAGGGAGGCTGGCATTGGAGGGTAATCATAACTCCAATCGGTTTTCAGCAAATGACATGCAAAAATAAAGAAGAGGAGACAGAGAAGACTTTCACGGATTCAAGGATTGATACACAGGATCAAGGCTTTCGTCCAAGTTTCCCGGGTCGGTTTTTTATCTTATCGTTCAGCGGCTGTCGTTCACCTGAAAGGCAAAAGCGACATAAGGGCGCAGTGCCCCTATTTACGTTCTCAGCGCGGGGTGGTATGGCCAGCGGCTTGAGGCACAATGCTTTTCTCTGCAGAACCCCCGCGGGTGAAATAAAAACTCCAAAGTCAAAATGTTGCACTTCTTTGCATATATGCTCGGGCTGAAAATCCCCTCATCTGTCGTCATTTTTTGCGATTTGTTTAATCGATCTCTTCTGAAAATTTTTGGCGCACATTCGGCTTTGAACTTTGTCTGCTATGGCTTCGGAAGTGGCTTTCGTTGAGAAATTTGTGGGTTTATCGTTTTCATCCTTTACGGCATTTGAGAAGACCTTAAATGAATACATGAAGGATAACTGTGGTATTTGTGCGCTCATCCAGTAATCGAAGCACCAACGCTATTTTGCGTTACGAATGGGTGTACTACAAATGCAGCAGGCACCCTCCAAGACAAGCCGTGGAATCCGAAGAAGCTGGTAAGTAGAGCGTACTTTCTAATAAAAAAGTACGCGAAGCACTAGCTGTCCAGTGCGGTTTTGTCTACGGGGGCAAAGGAACCAACTGTCAGTGACGTATTTTCTGGAAAACAACCACAAGCTCTCAGAGTTTCTGAACGATCGGCCTCCAGTTAATCGACGCCTAACCGAAGACGAGTCAGGTGCTGAGATATGGAACGCCGTCATCTGAGGTGTGGCAGTTTGTGGCGGATGAATTCGGAAAGATTCCTACCACTAAGGATATACACAACTACTGCCGGAAGTGTCGACTGGCTGTGTTGAATAGGTGCCGCGTGGTTGGGTTTTAAGGTAGTAGATGATATGCTTTCGGTCCTGGCAAAACTTCGGGAGACCGGACGCGTCCTTGTGTGCCAGGGAGAGGAAGGTCAATATAGCCACACATGTTTCTCCCGATTGCAGCGGATAGCGTTATTCCGACGCTTTCCAGATGTAGCAAATGAAGACGGAACGTATGCAACCAACAGCCTTAGGTAAGCTTAGTAAAGCATCTAATATTCGGCATTTAGATATAAACTATACACATTCTTGATAACGGACGGCATGGGAACCGGGCGTCCGGTCATGTATGCGTTCGTAAAGAGCGAGCAGTTTGTTCCCATGCGTAAAATGTTCGGCTTATTCAAAGAAATGATGGGCGAAATGTATCCGGTCAGGGCCTATGTAATGGACGAGTTGGCGGCGCAAATGCTTGCGGCAAGATTCGTGCTCGGCTGACGTTATCACCAGAAAATGGGCCATACACGCACAGTCCGGAATGGTCCGTTTCGGTAATGTGACCAACAACCGATTGGAGAATGCAAACGGGCGCCTTAAAGACCGGGTGCATCACTCCTACACGTTGGAGCATGCCATTCAAAAGGTGTCCCGGCACGCCGAGTGGCTCGTGCGGGAGTTTGAGATGCATACGTCGTACCGCTGCGACAAGTGGCAAATCCTGGAGGGTAACGCCTACGTTCTAAGCGTAGTCTGTCGAATGACGACACATGCGTGCTCTCACTTTTTGAGGCACTTGGGTCCGCGACCGCCGCGGCTGCCGTATGAAAGTGTCGGAACAAACAAGCTGAGGTCGAGCTCCGTAAACTAACCTATAGTTTGTGGTGCAAACACCCAGATGCTCCTAGACTGTCGACACCTGTGCTGGAGAATGCACATGCCCTTTCTATCAGGCGATGTGGCTCCCCTGCGTACACCTGTTCTCTATATTTCGATATCAGTCCGTTCCGAGCAGTAAGTACTATCCATCATTGACTTTTTTTTGGCTTGGTTCCCAATTCACCAACGATGGCTGTTGGATTACAACCTACCGGAAAAAGATGTACACCAAACCACCGCCGACAGCTTCGTAAACAACTGAATCGAGTGGCGGATAAGCTTCAGAGGCTGGAACCTAGGAGGGCCACCGCCATATTCAAGCGGTAGATTGCTAGGGACAAATCGTGCTGCTTCAGGCCTCAAAGTCTGCAACCGACGACTTGCCGTTGGTGATCGAGGATACTGCAGCTCAACCCATATTTCGGTCTGGAAACGCTGACTTGGGGTTCAATGTGCCGGCCTACTACTACCAGTGACCA